GTTTCTTAGTCAGGGTTCCAGAGAATCAGAACCAATAGGAGAGAGAGATTGATTTATTAAAAGGTATTGGCTCACGTGGGTGATTGTGGAAGCTGAGAAGTCCCACAGTCTGTCCTCTGCAAGCTGGAGACCCAGGAAAGCCAGTGGTGTAATTTATACGTCTGAAATCCCGAGAGCCAATGGTGTAGATTCCAGTCTAGGTATGAAGGCCTATGAACCAGGAGGACCAGGGGCAGAAGACTGATGTCCCAGATCAAGCAGTCAAGCAGAGACAGAGACAGAGAGAAGGAGAGCATATCAATCCTTCTCCCACTATTTTGTTCTTCTTAGGCCTTCCCACACGCGGAGATCAATCTGCTTTACTCAGTCTACCAATTCAAATGCTAATCTCTCCTTGAAACACCGTCACAGATAACATCCAGAAACAATGTTTAACCAGATATCTGGACATCCTGTGATCTGGTCAAGGTGACACATATATTAACTGTCACACTGGGAAAAACAGATTAAGCAACTGGGGATCTATAAAAATATCAAAATACAGAAAGAAAATTTGGCGTAGAGACAAAGTAAAAACCCAAGGAATTCTGACTTTGACATTCAGCTTCCTTTTTAATGATTCATCACCACCAGAAAGATGGATCATTGTGGTAGAAGAAATCAAAGGTAGAAATAGATGTCACGTGACAGGGTCTTCCTGTGTCTTACAGCCCTTACTGGCTGACAGCTCATGTGCAGAGGAATTAGGTAGAGCCTCTTAACAGCCCAGTGAAGATGTTAAATCAGTTGATTTCCCCTCATTTGATAAATGAAGAGGCTGAGACCTGGAGAAATCATGACTTTCTTACATTACAGAGAATTAAATGCAGATCTAAAATTGGCATGACTAAAGTTTTCCCAATCAAGTCTTCATATCATAGAAGTTTATTACTGGTAGCAGCTGACATTGCTGAGTGCCATTATTGTACCTGGAGACTTGACACATGTTAACTCAATCAATCATAACAACCCTATGAGGCAGGTGTTATTATTACTTATTTCGTAAGTGAAGAAATTGATGAACAGATGGGATAAATTACTTGCCCACATTCCCAAAGCTAAGAAGTCACTGAGTGCAGCTTGAACTCAGGCAGTTTGGCTCCTGAAAGTATTAACCGCTGTGCCATACTGCTTACTTGTTAGTTGGGACAGAAGGTTGGTGGAGTACAGAAAACCTAGCTGTTAAACAAGGAGTTGAACAATAAATTTCCAGACAGTCCCTGACTCTATAAAATACTTTATTCGAGATTTTTAAAAATCCCAATATATTTTTAACACATAGCTGTCTCAGAAAATATCTACTATGTGAAGCAGTATTTGGTAAATTGGCTATTAATGTTAACATTGTGTAGAAAAATGAATATTTAAAAAGTGAATCTTTGTAAAGCGTTATAGATATGATTGAAGAATCTCAAGTCTATCTCAAATTACTAATAATAATGTTTATTTTGTTAAGCCCTCATCCCCAAGGGCTAGGTGTAGTAGGGGTGAGTAATGAGAAAAATTAACTGCCTGCTAGCAGGTTTTCAGGCCATTCTGATATGTTCAGTCCAGTTCAGTGACTTCAAGACCAAGTGCTTTATTAAAATCTAAATCTCCTTCTGTGTACTTAATCAATCATACTAAATTTTATTATTCTCTATGCCAGCAACTGTGCTAGTGGTAAGGGGGAGGTGGTAAGGAAGAAGGGTGTTTAACTTGGGTCTGGCGCATCCTTGTTAGTAGCAGTAGGGTTTACAGCCCTCTTCTGCTCACCACAGCTGACCTTGGATGCCACAGTGTGATCAGTGCTCAAATACTAGTCCTTTTATGAGCCCTACGCATTTGCTGATTTTTGAAGTCCTCCACTGATACTTTTCCTGATGTGCTTGGTACTGCAAGCTTCTTCCTCCCTCTCACTCTCCAGTGGGTGGTTCACCCCACTGACTCTTGATGCTGGGTTATTCTCACTGCTCCTGTGGACAGTCATCTTGTGGTACCTGCAGGATGCCTAAAGCCCCAGTTGCCTTGGGCACTCTCTACCCACAGGATCTCAAAAATCTATGCCACTTCAGCCCATGGGTCTACAGATTGATCCAGCTTTCTGCCTTCTCCCTACCCAACTTTTGTGTAACCTGCAACATCAACACAATTTCTGGTGTAGGGCTAAGTAGCTTTCATATTTAAAAAAAAAAAAAGTCATTCATTCCAGATCTAGTTGTGGAACAGATCCTGCACCATAAGTGTATAGGAAACAGAGAAACGGTGCATGCGTTCCCAGACTCCATGAGTGAAGATAGGAAGGGATAGTTGTGCCCTCTTGAGCTCTATGCACCCCTAATTTTTGCTGTCTCTCTCCTTTTGCTGTCTCTTCTTTTTAGTATAGTTGCCATTCCAGCACTTTTTAAATTTTAGCAAAATTTAATCCTGGAGTCTAAAGCCTTTTGTTTTTAGCCTTGAATTGTTTTCAGAAAAAGCCTACACTAGAACCATGAGCCCCAGCAGATCAGAAAAAGGTCTCAATAATCTTCACTTTCTCCCATTATCATAGCAAATACCCAAATCATAAAGAATTAAAAATCTAAAAATTTAAACATAAATTAAGGGGAAAGGATTTTATTTTTCAATAATAAATACTGAATTAATAGGTACAAATACTGATAAATGAGATTAACACTATGCCAAGAGCCAAATGCTTTATTCAGCTGATTAAGGATTCCAGTAATAAAACTGAAAAATAAAACTGATACTTGCTCGAATCTATCTAATCTAATCTAATAGTTGCTCTAATCTTTTGTTTCACAAGGATTTGGAGAGAAAGGACAGAACTTCTAAAGCCAACCAGCTACTATCATTATCAACTTTAGAGATTATTGTTGTTATTACCTCCATTTTATAGATGAGGAATGTGAGGCTTAGAAGCAGTGTTCTTGCTCAAAGTTGTATGAAAAGCAGGATCTCTTGAATTATGACAACAATTGAAAGAAGCATCCTGATGTTGGTTCATATTAAAAATATCCATGGTATTTATACAATCTCAATTTCAAATTAAAAGATCTTCGTTCTTCAGTACATTTACCAAAATTAGGTGACTGTTGTGTAAGAGCAGCAATAGATCCAGCTACTCATGTATGTCTATGTTGTCAAAGGTCAATACCAAAAAAAGATGAAATCCCAAATAAAAATGGGAAGAAGCCAAGTTGGTTAAATTTCACAGAAGAAAACAAGCAGATTCCCTTGGTGCAAAGATATTTGGCAGACTTCTGACGCATGGCTGCTTCTCCTTTCCATTTCTCTCACTTCATCCTCTGACATTTAGCCTTATAAACACCTGAGCAAGTGTTTGAGCATTAAATTATAAATTGTAAATCCATTCACGAGATCAAAGCAGAGATTATCTTCATATAATAGAATGACATCCAAACTTTTCAAGGTCTGGCTGTACACTCCACACTGAATCTCCCAGAATAAGTGCTGGCCAGCCTAGAAGTAGAGAAGAAGGAGAAGAGTAAGGGTGGGGACGCGTGGGAAAGAGGGAGGGAAAGGGGGAGAGGAGAGAGAAGTCGTTGGCTTTGCCCGACCAAGGGAAAGGCTGTCTTCCAGGCCAACTGTGCTGTAGTCCATCTGACATTAATCTCTCTTGTGAAGGCTGATTCCCTAGTCAGAAAAAAGCCCATACTCTGTCTTTTGTAATTTACTTAAATGGAGAAAACAAGTAGGACAATATCCTGTCCTGTCATTGTCCTGGGTACCCAGTAGATGTAGTTCTGATCACACTAATTAATAGCTTTCTGGTTTGTATGCCTCAGACTCTTGTGAAGTAGGTGCGGTGAGTAACTGATTCCTCTGGTCATGCTAAATCATTACCAGTATCAGGGCTGGAATCAGGAACGTGGTAAACTCTTCCTTCTTTTCAAACTTAGGCTGATCCTGCACAAGTGGTTCCTAATTTGTAATTCAAGGTCCCCTTTAGAAATCCGATGAAAACTAGAAGTACACGTATGCATAGACACCAAAAAACAAAACAACACAAAACCCTACCATTTCAAGGGATTCGTAGAACTTTAACCTTATCCATGGAATCTCACTTAATAACTTTCCTCCTCAGGAGACCTGCAGTCTGATTTAGTAAAAGATAATAGAAAAAATTATCCATAGAATAATTACAGAATACTGTATCGCTTACACACACATGTTAATACACCACACACACACACATACACACACACAGAAATTCCACTCTACGGAGGAAACTGGAGGTCCCTTTTATTTAGATAAGCATAGTGATGGTTTCGGGGTGTAAGCTCAAAGATAGAGATGAACTGCCCTACCCAGTAAAGGAAGGAAAAATGTGAACTGCTAGAGGAGATATCTTGGAGGAAGAATCTCGAGGCTATTGGACTCTGTGAAGAAAACAGAAAAACAGAATCGCAGTAGCACAAGGGCAGAGAGGAAGGTCTGGAGCAGAGACAGGTCCTTGGCAGGATGAGCTAAGTTAGGCTGAGGCAGCACACACTCACACCTCAGGGCTTTTAGAGCCTTAACACAATGAAGGTCCCCACAAATCACCCCACTGGCCTGAGCAGCTATCCAGTCAATTGCTGTGGTGACTCAGCAAACAAGTCCACTTCCATCTTTTGTCTCTGCCCTCAGAACCTAAGGCTTTCTCATGATTGTTGTACCTGGGGAAGAGAGAGTCCAGGGTCTCATATTTGTGATAAACACATTTCACTTCTTTATAGCTTCTTGACTGAAACCAGTCATGAGATCTCACTAAATGCAAGGGGACTGGGATGTAAATATTTCCAAATGTCCAAAGTGAGAGGAAAACCTGATACTAGAGGGTTCCAAAAGTGTCTACTACATGGCTTGTCTAATAGAGGAAACCTAGTTTGTTAGCTGGGGGTGTCTATTGTTAAGTTTCTCATCAGTCTCCTCTATGGAATTCTCAATAAAATATGTACTCTTCTCATTCTTCACAGGGACTCAAAGGTATACCGAGCTCTGATATCAGTGGGGCACAAAGCAGGTACAGAAAGCCCCATCCTGTAGGTACAGAGTATTGACGATAGAGCGCAGTGAGACAGGCAGATTCCAAGGTGGAAAAGAACTGCCTGGCTTCCAACCCAGGCTACATTCTACAATTCTGAGAAAGGTAAGTGACTTGCTCTTCTGCAAAATGAGTTAGCTGGATTTGATCACTCTAGTGTTAAACTGTACAGTTCTGGCAATAGATGCAAAAGCAATTAAAGAAGAGAGAAATCAATTTAAGGATAAAATTATTTTTGGCAGGTAACCTCATTTTTTAGCTTATCTGACCAATCTGTTACTATGTCTGATGATCACTTCTATTAATTAGGTTTTATTAGGTAAGATATATCAAAAAATCTAATTTTGCCCTTACTTAAATTATAACGCTCAGCATAAAAAATAATCTTTGGTCAAATCAAATGGGATAAGATAGTGACTTTGAGTACATTTTGTTATCCAAAAACATATACTAAGATGGGTAGAATTTGGCACAACATATTTCTCTCAACATTTGGTGGATGGATGCATTTAGGATAACTGTATAAAAGGCGATCATACATCAAGGTCTATCTGGGATAGTCTCAACAAAATTATGAATAGCTCCTCATTTTATTCCCAAGTGTTTGACTTTGAACAGTAAGTTATATTGCATCTGGTGTATATGTCATGATTTTCAGCAAATGATTTTTGTGTGCCCACAGCACCAGAACCCTTATTTGCTGCTGTTATAGTCAGACCCCAGATTAACCTAAACCGAACACTGAGGGACACTTACAAGTCATGTAAAATATTAATCTATCTTTTATCTCTCTATTGTTCACTCTAGATAGGTCATTTTCCATGTTGACATCAGCAACTAAAGTAATCCAAGGAGTGACTGTTTTCTCCTGGATCCTTGACGAGAGGAAATCCTCCATGTGAGGTGAACAGTCATTTCTGATTTCTCCAGGGCCAGCAGAAGCCAGTAATAACAAGGGTTATCCTGTTCCGTTTCAACATTAGTCTGAACAAAATGCCCGGTACATAGAGCACTGAGAAACATAAACACAGCCTGTACTTTTTTTTTTTTTTGGTCCTCTGTTATGGAGGAGCTTATACTGTCCCTCAGAATAACACTTTTCTAACTCAAAAAGAAAAAAGAAAAAAAGGTTACACTACCCTCATCAAAGCCTAATATGGATCTCCCAATGACATTCTTCTACTTGCTATTTAAAAAGAGTAATTTTAAGTTTGTTTTAGAAGAGTAACCGCCCCTTTTTTGGTTTAAAAATTCAATTCATTTTATACTTCTCTAATGTTGACTATTTTTTCCCATGGTGCTGATTACCTTGTACTCCTCTAATTCACTCTGCTCCTCAAGGATTGACAATTAGGTGAAGTGAGACCACCAAATGTTAGTGATAACAACTTTAAACTGATGGCAAACTAGTATTGCCAACAGTAAAAATTTGTATCACCTCTGTATTTTGCTCCCCTAAATCTCATGGGTTACCTGCAGAATGCTACAGATATTGACATCTGGTCTCCCTCCCAGACTCTTGGTTGCTTTATTTCATAGCTACATAGGTTACTTATTTTAGCATGAGCCTAATATAATGGTCAAAAAAGGTAGTGATGTTTCAGTTATACCCTTAAGTCAATAAAAATCTAAGGTGGGGGGCAACTATTAGCCACTCAGTAAATTTCACAATAATTCAAAAGCAAAATTGCCCTAGTTGGTTTTTTTTAAATCATACATTACTGATGATTTTCTGTACAGTATGGAAAAGCTTCATTTACAGACCTTTAAGTTAGAGTTTGATATGCTTCTGTTTAATACTGAATTTGTTCCACGTGGATCATGAAGGTTCTAAGCTAAGTATCACTGAATGCAGGAAAAGGTACAGTGATTCCAGGAGGAAAGCCATGGGCAGTTTTCAGAGGCATGAAAGGACTTGGGCTTCCTCCTTCCCTGACTCCCAAAGTCAATAGATACAAAAGGTAGAAGGGAGCCTGAGACATTTGTAATTAATTGGGAAGTTGGTGGTAGGTGTGTTATTCCAGACAGCACATTATTTTATCTATAAATATTTGTCTATATCTCTAAAAAAAGAGAATTCTTTTAAACTTAACCGCAATTTCATAATTATACCTTAAAAATGACAATACTTTGTAAAGTCTATCAAACTTCCTAATAGACTCATTAAAATTTTTAATTTTTAGGTTAATTTTTTGAAATCCAAGTAAGGCTCTTACAGTGCAATTAAGCAGTGTCGTATAAATTAAATCTCTCTCTCTCTCCTTGTGAATTATTTGTTAATAAAAAGGAAGTTATTCACGTTCTGTAGAGGATCTTACACTCCAAATTTTGTTAATTGCATTCTGTGGTGTTGTTTAACATGCTCATCAACTCAATATTTAACATTCATCAACTCTTTGGTTAAAATTAGGTACAATTTACATAGAAAAGGTGGCTAAATGCTTGCTTAGCCCTTTTATTTATCTGCTTATGATCATGTTTTAGGAACTGAAATTGACCCCCAAATTCCTTATTCTCAGTCCAGGGTTCTTACTAACACACCTGCAGGCATCCATTAGCTTGTACTTACCTCTTATTCATTGTTTGGACTTCATACATAGAGTGACTCTGGGCAGTATCTTAAAGAATATAATTTAAGGGAGAGAATAGAATTGTATGCTGAGCCATCATAAAATAGTTCTTCACACTGGGACATAATGAGTTAACAGTGAAAAACTCCCAATGACCCTGTCAATGATTTCTCCTCGTCTTACAATAAGGTACTGAGCTACACCCAGTAGCAGTCTGAGTAACACTCCTGAAAAGAGTGTGTTGCTCACAGTAATATTAGCTGTTTAACTTTGGTGCATTTTTTTCTAGACATTATTTCATAAAATATGAACTCCTCAGTTAATGAGTTTGTGTTTTGTTCTGACAATTTCTTTCTAAAATATGCCTGCAGAAAAATAGGGCTGAGGCTCTCAGGCTCCAGGACTTGGACATAACATAGTTCACATGTGAAAATCTCTGATTAAAGTCTATAAATTCTAGTAGAGGTTGATTTTATGATTTAAAGACAGATCTTATTTATGTCCTAGCTACACAAGTGGGAATAAACCAATACTTGTCTTTGCTGTTAACTGCTTATTTGTTTTGCTAACTTGTTTGTTTTAAATTTTGTCAGTATATTAACCCTGTAGAAGTTTGAAAAAAAAAGAGCTTGGAATTTATACAATTAATATTGTCTATGGATAACCACAGGGATATTGAAACTTTTGAAATATATGTTGGAAAGCTCTCACTTGTCCTCAGCCATGTTAATCAACAAAACTGAACTAATACTATACTAGTCCTTTTCAGTTGCTGTTTCCTTGACAAAATTACAGGATCCTGTGTTGAACGACCTGAATTCTGGCCCTGGTGTTTACTAACTCTGGACTATGAGAAGGTTACTTTTACTCATGATATTGTTGGGAGACAGTTGTCCTGAGTTTCTGTGTGTCTTGTGAGTAGAGGCACTAGTGGTCTTTGTTGGGCCTTGAAAAGATGACCTTTCCAAGTACATTTGCAAACAGCCTTGGAAGTTAGTCTTTTTTTTTTTTCTTTCGGTGGGGTTGGGTAATTAGGTTTATTTATTCTTAAAGGAGGTACTAGCGATTGAACCCAGGACCTCATGCATGTTAAAGCATGTGCTCTACCACTTGAGCTATACCCTCCCCGAGCCTTGGAAGTTAGGAGAGTCTTCCCCTAGAGCAGAGGGTAAGTTTGTGTATTCTCCAGTATAACGTTATCCTCTGGGCAAAAGTTAGGCAGGCTGCTGTGCAACCCATTCTAATTTTTTTTTTTATTGAAGTGTAGTCAGTTCATAATGTGTCAATTTCTGGTGTGCAGCATGTTTCAGTCGTACATATACATACATATATTCCTTTTCACATTCTTTTTCATTATAGGATATTAAATATAGTTCCCTATGCTATACAGTATAAGCATGTTGTTTATCTATTTTATATGTAGCAATTAGTATCTGCAAATCTCAAACTCCCAATTTATCCCTTCCCACTCTCTTCCCCCCACCCTGCCCCCGCCGGTAACCGTAATTTTGTTTTCTATGTCTGTGTGTCTTTTGTTTGGTAAATAAGTTCATTTGTGTCTTTTTAAAAAAAATTCCACGTATAGGGGATACCATATGGTATTTTCTTTTTCTGGCTTACTTCACTTAGAATGATGATCTCCAGGTCCATCTAGGCTCTGCAACCCATTATAAAATAGTAGGATTCCCTAAGCTTGGGGCTTCTCAGCTATGACAAAACGCGTTGCCTCGTGTGCACGGCACATCCCCCTCCTTGGCACCGTGAAGGCTCAGCCATGTACATCTCAGTATTGTCTAAAGTAGCTGCATGATGTAAACGTACGCTTATGCTTCTTGCTGTGTGGTGAGAATTGTTTTCTTTCTGACCCTGGAGTCTTAGAATTTCTGCCAGTTTCCATGATACAGTAGCAGGTTGACTTGCTAGCTTGCAAACAGAGTAAAATCTTGACAGTTCTTAACAGATCATATAATTTGTTTATCTTTAGAATTAAGTGGTTGGCCTGTGAATTGGTTTAAATTTATTTTTTAGTTCTGATTCAATGCAGAAAAGAGTCTTGTTTCATGTTCTCAAGGGCTTACAATCTTTCTGAGGCTGAAATGTGTAAAGAAGTGTTGCAGACTCTGTACCTTCAGCCCAGGTGGCCATGTCTATGACCTGGTTGGAGAGCTGAATGGGCTGGAAGGTGAGAGTAAAGGGCAACTCCCTGAAGTCATGTGTTTGTCCTGTTGTCTGTCAGAAATGAAGAGAATGGAGGTTGTTATCTGCTGTGACTGAGAAGACTAGAAAAACAAAGATAACCCCCATGGTCTGGAATCTGATCTCAGGGGGCAGAGGGGATACAAGAATTATTTTCACGAAAAACCCTTGAAATATGGGAACACAAGCAGAGCTGTTGACGTCTCCAGTAACACAGCATAAAACGGGTTGGGAGAGATGAGAAGCCTTCTCGCTTCTGCACAGCCTTCTCCTCAGCACCACC